TTCATATTCTTATCAACGAACAGAAATATTATTCAATGATTTGAATTTAAAAAAATATCGGGAAAATCGGTCGAAAAGTATAGAAAAGTCGGGAATCGGGAAGCAAGTGAAAATATCGGGATTTTCTAAAATTTCGCGGTTTTCCCGACGGGATGAGAGGTCTAATAATAGCCAACATAATATCCAATTTACCGCTTGTAATGTTTTTGAGTGGGATAAATTTCATCGGATTGGTTATTCGAGTTCCATAATTATTCTGCGCTCATCAGCAAGTAGTAATCAATTCATAAATATAGCAACTTTGCGTTGATGAATGAAGCCAACAGTTAAACACACGCATTCATGTTACACAAGTTAAAGCTGGGAGGCGGTTGAAAGCTCATTAGTTTGAAGTGTGAACGGGCCTTTGTGACCATGACATTTCACTGAATAATTTTCATTTGACATATGAACGTCAAGTGGTCGAAAACAATCATTCAATAGTTGTAATAATCAGTAAAATTTATGCTAGGTAGAAAAGTGAAACTAATATTCGAGAAGAAAATCTAAACTACCAAAGATGACTTCTGAAGAGAAAATCACGCACGAAGCATATACAGTGTATCCACCGGCCTCCATTCCAGTTCAAATTGAATCATTGGCTTGCTATGGTATGCGTTCGAATTAAGAAACGCCCAATATAGGCCATAATAATGTAGTTTTGTTAAAATTGTACGAAAATTCCAGATAATAATGTGCTTTTGGGTACGCGTCAAGGACATTTATTGATGTATGCTGTGGAACAAAATGCAACAGAAAGCAAAATGGATCTTCAGCTTTTGCAATATGACAAGAATTTCAGCAAGAAGCCGATCACTCAGATTGATGTCATACCCGAATATCAGTTATTATTCAGTTTGACGGATGGACTGGTCTCAATTCATGACATTGCCCGGCACAATTTTCCAGTTGTACATTCCAATAGCAACACAAAAGGTTTTACAATGTTCCCATTTAAAGTGAAATTTCGGGAAACTCATTCTACATTATTGACTCTTTAGGTGCAATGCTATTCGCATTGAATGTCAATCGAACAACCGCACTGACTGGTGAAACCGCATTGGTTGTTCGACTTTGTGTGGTTATCAAACGTCAGTTACAATTTTGGTATTGGAAACACGATAAGTTGTTACAATATCGTGAACCAATTCAACTAGATGATTCGCCCAAGGCCGTCGTATGGCTCGAAAACGCAATTTGCATCGGATTTAAAACTGATTATATTGTATACGACGTAAAGATTTTTCTGATTTTTTTTTTAATTTACCGTTGAAAAATTAGTCGAACTGAGTAATGCATGAACCCTCTTTTTAGATTTCATCGGAAAGGCCACGGAAAACTGAACTCTTTCCAACAAGCTCATCAAAAACAATTGACCCATGTATTACAGTCATTAACGAACTTTTTGCTGTTGTTAAAGATGAGTTTCTTATTGCTGTAGATCCGAAAAGTTCGGTTTTGCCAGAAACATGTGCAACCAGTGGAAAAATATCAAAAGAACAAGCAACATTGCCCCAAGACCAAACAAATAAATCATTTAAATCCTTTGCTTGGTCCCATCCCATAAGTCAACTTGGTAAAATAGTTCCATTGAAATTACTGATTGATTGATGTGATTAACCATAGTTGTAAAAAAACAATCTGTTTCCAGTATGGGACGAACCCTATGCGATCGGTTTGCTCCCCAATGGTGTAGAGGTGCGTGTTCTTGATGCATCGGGTTCCATGAAAGACACCTTCATCCAGACTTTACCAGAAATTCAAAAAGCGAGGCATTTAGTAAGGTCCAAAAAGGGTTGTATATTTGCAGCTTCTATGACGCAACTATACTGTATTCAAGGAATAGACATTCAAAAGCAATGCCAAAGTCTATTGCAACAAAAGAAGTTCCAGTTGGCTCTACAGTTAACGGTGAGTATAGTTTTACTAAATTGATATGATTTCGTTATTCATTGGCATTTATTTTTACATTACCAATACATTAGTTATGGAGATTTTTGTTTTGTTTATTATTTGTTGTTTGTAAACAAATCTGCCTATCTTTGTGCATTACCTCTGCACATTTCCTATGGACATATACTATGCACATGCAGAATGCACAGTGACAATGCAAAAAGATAGGCAGATTTGTTTACAAACGACAAAAAATAAACAAAACAAAAATCACCATAACTTATGTATTGGTAATGTAAAAATAAATGGCGGACATTTTACATTTCTTATGGTCTGTATACTACAGATTGCGGTGAAAAAACGCAACGCATAGAATTCAGCCGCTGACCCAGCCAGAATGTTTTCAGTTAGCTAGCTGACATTAGCCAAATACATTGTCTGTGCTAGAAAGCCCCTGGCTCATAGGCCCATAAAATGCATTCAAACTTGGAAATCGACCAACCGCCTCCACAGAAAAATCCACTTGAAAATTATGCAGCCCGTTCATCTTAAAACACGTTTTTTCTAAAGCTACCCGTCGAGACCTTTCCAACAAGCCCAAGAACGTCGAAATCGGACCATCCGTTGATGAGTGTTATGGCTGTTTGAAAATTTTCTTTGTCGTCTCCACTTATTATTCTGAGATAATAATTTTGTCTGTGTATGTGTGTGTCCGTAGTTTTTGTCCGATCTTTTTCGAACTTTCAGGCATTGAAGTATACTAAAAACCAAGACTTTTTGGTTCCTCCACTTTTTGATTTCGCCACCATCTTGGCCTTAGACGGCCTTTGAAAATTCAAAACAAAGCTTTCTTTTCAATGGTCACTGTGCCAAGGTCAGTCAACCGATTTCAGACTTTTGGGTATCGTTGGAAAGGTCTCGAGGGCACCTATTTGAAGATGAAAAAATCGAGTTGGCATGGTCTTATGGGCAGAAACTTCACAAAGTCTTTTTATATCTTGATATCAATTAAAATTGTGGAAAATGGAATTGTTTCTTGAGTCAAATGTGTAAAAGAACATAGACTGGATGGTTAATCTTATTGAAAAATTCTATTACAAAACAGTTGATATCAAATAAAAAACTTTCTCAAAGTCAATGCTCGTGCCGAAAGCGAACACAAAACTTGTGATGTCAATTTCAAAAAATCATTTCGGAACGATTTCAATTTGCCTATTTTGCATTCTAACTACCCAAGTAACAATTATTAGATGAAATATATCCGAACCCGGGTATATGTTTAGGGTTGAATGTGGGGTTACGTTTGACCAT